TGCGGGGAGTGTTAATGATAAGATTGTTGGCAGTAGCTGGAAGACTGCCGTCAGAAATAAAAGAGTTAATAGTGTCTTTGACAGTTTGCTGGTAGGTAGGTGTGAGGTCTTTGTTGATTTCAAGGTAAAATTGGTGTCCGAGAGTTGGCGTAAAGCTTCCTCTTTGTACACATCGGTGCGCCAAACGACAATAGCACCGCCTTTATCAGCGGGCTTGATGGTGATATCAGTACGAGAGCGAAGATTACGAAGTGCCGTCCATTCATCAGTGGAAAGGTTGGAAAAATTAAGTTTACGTTTAAAGTTGAGAGTAGAAAGATCGTGACGACATTTGTTAATGAATAAATCTAAAGAAGCAAATTAGCCCTCAGGGGGAATCCAATTAGATTTACGCGGGTTGAGGAGTTGAAAAATATCACGATCAGAAGTATTTGTCGAAGAATTATCAGCATGAAAAAAAGCTTTGAGTCGAGTACGACGAAAGAAAGATTCAGAATCTTTGTTGATTTGAATATAGTCTTCACAGATAATTAAACTTTAATACTAATAAAATTGTAAAAGAATATTGAAGATGATCAAATCAGGATGATTTTCAGTATACGAAGAAACTAAAAACATCGAAGACGACAGGCAAGAAAACAGGGATACAAATAGCAATGAAAATAGCGAAGAACCTACAGTAAAGACAGCGAAAAAAGCATTTTTCTCAGCTAAAAGCGTTTTCGATATTAAAGGAAGTTTAAGTTCAAGTCATGAAGGAGATGATGAGCAAGACGAATCTGATATACATGTCAGAACAAACCATTTTCCATCGAATAAAAAATGAAAGTTGACGAAACCATACTGTCATTAACGAGGAAAAAATACCAAAAGGCTAGAGATTTTTCTAACATTTTGAAAATATATTTAGCTTGCCAAAAAACGGTATTTTACTTTTTGCAGACTTAGAACTAGAACTTGCTTTCGTATTTTTGCCTTGAATTTTTTATTTATAAGTCATGCTGAACTTTTCAGCTTCTAAAGTCCCCAAAAAACAATAGGAATATATTCACAATATCGGCCAAGAACAAACAGCGAAAATTTAGTGTTTGAACAGATTCAAACCTGTAAAAAAAAGAATTTTTTTACCTGCTTGAAGGGCATTTTATTTTCTTCGCCAGATGCTCAGTTCGGTGTATTAGAGTTTTTATGTTTTATAGCATTCTATTCCGAGCAGCGTGACAGTTTCAGCATAGTTAATATCTTAAGGTATCAGGGTACCCCTAAATTGCTATGAAAGATCGATTTTTAGGTTTTTACATTTTGCGAGGGAATGCACGATAAGCTATCATTTTCCAAAAATGATTTTCCAATGGCGTTTTTTAATAGCGAGAAATAAACGAAAAACGACTTTTTAGCTTTAATAGTTTTCGATTTAATGTTGAGATCACTTGTCAACGATCTGTCGTTACGTCTCTATCGGCCACTGTTGTTTGATCTTGGACGCTTTTGGCCTTCGTTTTGTTAGCGTCATAACTTTAAGAGGGTCTAAGAAAGCAACGGGGCAATTAATCAAAAATCGGAGACACACTTTTGACAAGTGATGTCTTGTGATCTTGGAAAGGTAATAAGCATTGGTTTCCGATCATTACCGGCTGTCATCGAACTCCGCGAAGATGCCACGATGAAAATTTGAATAATTCTCTCTAGCTTAAAGGATAAATATATTCTACAAAAGGGAAAAAAGAAATAGTTTCTACATTTATTCAGCTTTCAGAAAATGTATACTTTGTTGAGGATTTGATTAAAAGGTTTTGCGCTATTAAGAGTTGAATGTACATTGGTCGCTGGGGTACCCTGATACCTTAATAGAGTCTATTTAACTATACTTTCGGCTATCTTAAAGTTTCTTCTTAACTTTTAGTACTGGTTTTGCTCAAGTTTAAAGTCTTTGAACTCAGGACGACACTACAATCTGACCTATCAGTTCAGGAATCACATGCTAAAATAAGTTCAGGCTGCGCGTGGGTTTAACAGTACTGAGATTTTTCAAATAATAATCATAGGGCAACTTACTTCATACTCTCTTGCTTTTATGTAAGTGTTCCGCATCTGAAAGCATGAGTCTTCTGTGCCTATCTCCTTCAGTGGACTGTTGGCTGACTAATGAAGATCGCTTCCTAAATTCCCCATTCCGAAATTCAAAGGAAGACTGATGCCGAATCCACGCCGCTTGGAATTCTGGGGCGGAATTTAGGGACACAAGATGGCAGCTTGAGAGAAAGTATGGGGAAATACAACTGTGGCATTCCGAATTGTACAAATAACTGGAGAAATTCTCCTGGGTTGAAGTTCCATGCACTTCCGGGAGATCCTAAGGTTCTCGACGAGCACAAAGATATGTGGTAAACACTTTCTTTCTTCGAAGATATGTTGATCGTCCATGTTTATGGAAGTCACTGTCGATTCTATAACTGTTGAAGTGGAACTCCCTGGTATTTTACTTTTCTTTGGTACTTCATTTTTGACAATTTCACGTCGTTTATGGTCTTAGACCAGGTGAATATCGATGGCAACTGARTATGACTACATCTCTCTCCTCCTGGAAAGTGTTTACCACATATCTTTGTGCTCGTCGAGGATACTCTGAGATTATCGTTTCTTATCAGCCGTTTGTATTCCCTAAGAACCTTAGGATCTCCCGCAAGCGCTTGGAACTTCAACCCAGGAGAATTTCTCCAGTTATTTGTACAATTCGGAACGCAACAGTCGTATTTCCCCATACTTTCTCTCAAGCTGCCATCTTGCGTCCCTAAATTCCGCCCCAGAATTCCAAGCGGCGTGGATTCGGCACCAGTCTTCCTTTGAATTTCRGAATGGGGAATAGGCACCAATAGGACGTTTGCATGATGGCATCATTTGTCTTCTACTACCAAGATGCTTCGCGAATTTTCTTTGTTATTTAGATTTTTATTCTCTCATGACTGAGAATAGTAAGAGAATTGGTGATAACTAACTGAACAAAAGAAAGTGTGCAAGGGAGTCTGGTAGTAGAGGTCAATGACGCCCTATTTCTACCAGAGAAAAGCAAGCTTTTTTGAGTGAAGATTCCTCTGTTGAGACATTGTTCAAAATTTAAAGGATGTTCTTACTCGGCAGCTAATGATAAAAAAAGCAAGCAACAGAGCTTTTGATCGACCTCTAACCAGTCCAAAGTCTTTATCAATCCTGTGAGTTCTGGCGCGCAGCTTCGTTCTCAGATCTAAACTGCACGATTGTATCAGTTGGCGGAAATTGATAGCTAAGGTCCCGGTTCATATCCGGCTTCTAACGTCGAATGATACTGTTTTTGTTTTTTGCCTCAACGCCAGAAAAACAGGGTGTGCAAGTACTTAGGTCAGCATGGTGATCATTAATTAGGGAGTGCCATACTAGGACCAAAGCCTTTTAGTACACACATTCACTGGCCAATTATGGTTATTTTGATTTTGATTCCCAAGGAAAAATCTCTTATTTCTAGTAAATATGTATCTTTAAAAGTAATTTATAAAATTCGAGTCCGGGACCRCTTTCGGAATTTAATCAGACTCAAAAACCAAATATGTACTCAGTACTTTTTAAAACTAGAGAAAGAAAGTTCTGCGTAGAACAAACGTCCACTTCTTGTAATTAACTTCCATGGTGCAATGTTATCGTTTTTCGTAAAAAAATGCTTACCTGCGAAACGATTACACAATATTTTGGTCGATTGGAGCTTGTCTTATTTTTTCGTGGATTTGAATTCACTGATCAAAATGTCTAATTTATGTTTCAGCTGCCGAATCAACTGTGCATCAAAAGTCAATCCTTCATCTCGCATCAAAGTCATAACCAATTGTAGTGCACCAACAGAAGCTTGTAGTAAGCAACTTCGTTATCAGTGGTCGTTAAAAAAGAAAGGCGGAAAGGATTCTTGGATAGATGTATCAAACTTACAAGATAAATTTTCTACACCCCTTACCTCATCTGACGCAGTTATTAAGGAAGGCGTCCTTGATCCTGATCAAACATTCATGTTAACCGTCAACGTTAATGTAGATGACATCGGAGTTGTTCCTGGAATATCTTCCTACATATTCAAAACAAACTCGCCCCCTATGAAGGGAAGTTGCAGCATTTCGCCACTTTCAGGGACCGGTCTTGAGACTCAATTCGAGTTTGCCTGTCAGGTATGGAACAGTAAACTAATGCTCTTTTCATATAAATGTCACGATAAACTCAGCGAGATAAAAATTAGCAAGTCACAAGTACATAAGACTTTAAAAACCCCTTGCTGTGATTAATTCCACTATATTTTTCCCCTCTCCTTTCATTAATTATATAGAGAATAATACATGGTCGCGCGGAGATATGGAAGTTTATATCTTCGAGTGTTTAATTTGAACACGAGAAGATAACTTCCATACCTCAAAGCGGCCATGTATTTTTCTGTTTATTATATAAACCATAGCACTGTTTATTTTTTCGAAACAATGGAATTTTATTACATAAAACCGAGAATTTACAAATACAGTCTCTAGTAAACAAACCCAAATCAAGTTCAACTCTAGACTGTTCACCCTCGTAGGGTTGTTGGTTCATATTCCTCACTGTTTTTCTTTCTGACTGATAGCAAAAATTTGCACAAATACGAGTCGAGTTCTTGAGGTTCTCTTCAATCGGTCGAGTCTCCTTCTCAGTTGTGAGAAATAACTGAATGAGCGACAGGTCGTTCTTTGTTGTTTTTTTTGGTGTTTGCACTTTCCTCCTCCTCGATAAAATCTATGACGTCTTGTAAATCAAATGTGAAAAACCTTCCAGCCATGTCTTTGAACTTAATTTTCGATAATTTTAACAAAATTATCGATCCAGTGAGCAATCTTTGCTACCATATACGAGACAAAGCTGCCGGGCGCTGGGATTTTCCCGCGTCTGTGAGAGCAATGACGTCAAAGAATACTGAAAACTGATTGGATATAATTAACATGTGAAAATCATCGTATCATTGGAAAAAATTGCCCATACATTTGGAATATTTGCTCTTTTCGGTCTTTTTCCTCTCTTTCCAAAGCAAAAGGTAGTTCTTAAAAGTAAAGTTATATAGCACAAGTAAACTGCGTTACAAAACATCCTAATGACCCGTAAATCTTCCGTTCTTTCGCTAACTAATAGTTAGCGTGTTTTCGAGGCTACGAAACCTAAGAAACCATAAGAGGATGTTTACATGTGTTGAAATACGAAATTTCTCAGTTGTAGAAATCTTTGTAAACGACTATAGTTTATATAATAAAAATTGTTTACTTGCAAGCGTTTTTATTTTATTTTTTATTTTTTCAAAGTGTTGATAAAATTCAAACTGTTGAAAAAATGATTATCGAGCGTCCATGTCTACTTCTTTTCCATGCTATGTTTGAATGTTCTTTTATTTTTCTAACATCATAAGCTAAGCACCGCTTTTTCAATTCATCTTGCATAGCTTTGGTTCGAATATCTATCTATGTTTATTAGAAGCCTCCATTTAAGCCAGCTCCAACTGAATTGAACAGCACTGTCAAATTATTGCTTATAATATATGAATAATGTTTCTAGTCAGCTCCATAAAATTCATAATATTTTTACTATATATTTTTACTGACGATRTTTTGTTCTCCTAAATAAGAACTGGCAGGATGATGATAAGCCTTTGACGTATCAATTCTACTACGTGACTGCACCGGGATTGACAAGTGTCATTTCATATGGACATGACCAACAAGTAAAAAGCAAGCTTCCTGTTGGCAAAAAAGAAGATGGCTACATAATCACGATAACATTTCTTATTATAGACTCGTTTTCGGCTTTTACGAAGAATGAAATAAAGGTCAAGGTAAATGAACTTAATTAAAAAGCACTTTGAGTATTTAGCTGATTCATTGACATTTATAGCACATCTGTACCAGCGTGTTACTTTTAAAGAGAGGTGTGAATTAAAATTTACCTATCTTTTCCATGTTTTGCAAAAACCAAAAATCGTTGACATACTACTATTACTTTATTTGTGCGCCATCTTAATACACCATTTAATACGAGTATGCTAACCCTCAGTTCACATGATAAAATGTATCTACCGATGAATCAGTTGTTACAATGACGCAAAATATTCTGTATTGGTACTGCAGAGTCTCTAACTTGGCTTGTGATATTTATTATATTATGAAAGTAGCAAAAACATTTTCATGAACTTTAATCATTACCTTGCTTCTGATTTGCCGAGGGCCCTCAGCCAATCCTTGATATCGTGTGAATTTGACATGATGAAATTAATGTATTATCTGTAGGTTTTACTGACTATTCACGTCAAGTTTATTCAAGGTCACCATGGACATTGAAATAAGTTTACTATTTCTTCGGAAGCACAACTAAATCCTTATTCTTAGTTTACAAAATGTATAATAAAATTATTATTGAATTATTATTATCGGTTTTTGCGTGGTGTTGAATATTACCAAGATCTCGGCTGTTTTATAAAATTGTTTATAACACGGCCTTAGTCTTGATAATTTACGATAAGATGTTCAACCTCATCCAATACTAAATTGCTTATTAGAAAAATTGGTTACTCATCGAGTAGAACGGCCTCGCGATTTATGGCATTAAACGTTTTACTTGAAATGGCTTTCATTACTGTCTTTCGTCACGGACTCATCCTTTTTTTTCCGGGAACCGATGAAAACTGGTAAAAATCGAAGGCTAGTTTTTGCATAAAAGGAATGAAATATTTTAATGAATGAATTATTTCAAAATTTTTTTAACTAACACATTTGGTTTTGTTATTCAGGGCCTAAATAGCCGAAATTTCACTATCCAATTTTCTTTATTTTGTTATTTTATTGCGGCAAAAACACGATTGTAGATACACGATGCTCAAGGGGTCAAAAAGTGGGATCTTGGGCTGAAAAAATTGCTTTTATTCTCAATAGAGAAAGGTCAGAAAGTCACAATGAGCAAAATAAGTGATCAGTAAAGTGAGCGATTAAGGCCGTCTATCACACTATGTGTCAAGTTGAATTAAAGTCATTTTTCCCGCGATTTTATTTTCACCTTTAAAGTTTTATCTAAATTGGGCTTCCTAGGCCTAAAGCCATAGGAGCTCCGCTTATAAGCATTGCCTAAATTTATTTTACTTGCAAATTTGAATTCCTTTGTGACAGGTTGAACCAATTAAACCTGGAGGCAGCAACAACATAAAAACGGCTGTGGATGAAGCGTCGAGTAACGTAGAGACGTTGCTTAAAACTGGTGATGTAAAGATGGCAACCCAATTAGCTAACGCAGCTCTTGAAACAATGTCAAATGCCAACCAAAGTGAAATTGATGAGAAAGAAAAAACTAAGGTATGCAGCAACCATATTCACATTTTGATTTCATATATTCTAAAAATATATAATATTATAATTTGAGTGTCACCAGAGAATCCACATGATAATAAAATGATATAGTTTTTCTTRGTAGCTATAATTTTTGCAAACTGCATATTATATAAGGATACCAATTACTATCACAGAAAGTTGAGCTATGATGAAAGATGCTCTAAGGAATTACTACTCACAGGAGGTTGGGCAAGGCATTACCACTTAAAGGAGGTTGAGCTATGTCGGACGTTGTTCTAAGGCCGTAGAATATTTAAATTTGAGTGTCACCAGAGAATCCGCATGATAATAAAATGATATAGTTTTTCTTAGTAGCTATAATTTTTGCAAACTGCATATTATATAAGGATACCAATTACCCTCACAGAAAGTTGAGCTATGATGGAAGTTGCTCTAAGGCAGTACCACTCACAGGAGGTTGAGCTATGATTGAAGTCACTGAGGCAGTACAGCTCACAGCTCACACGATTTTTTGAATGCCGCTTTCATCGATATTTCCTATCGCTTTTGATAACAAATGGGGTCATTTAGCTTCATATCAAAAAATCCATAACGTTAGAAAGAAAGTCACAATTTGATTCATACTCAATAAGGACAGTGTCTATATCCGTACCTATATTCTAGCTACTAAAAATATTGATTCCACTAAATTAAAGTCCCGATTTTGAGGGTATAAAGTTGACACGCTGGAAATAACAGTTAAAGTCCATGAAAATATTCATCGCGTAATATTTGGAAAAGGTTCTCATACATTTTTCTTTTATATTACAATATGTTGGGAGCCTTGATGAATACTATCGACTGGTGCAAGTCGCTTTGAAAGTTTAGGTCTAGTTTTCGAGAACATAAGCGGTAAACTATTTCTACTATGTCATCATTACGTCATTATGAAAAGGCCGCTTTAAACTAATTTATAATTTTTGAAACCTTTAATCCTTTTCTTACATTGTGTGAAAAGTGCTTAGAGATCGAGTTATTCAAGACGAAGTTGTAGCCGTTTCAATGCGGCTAGGTGTGCCAGACAAAAACTACCTAGAGCCTCCTTAAGAGAATTGTTTTTTGTGGGAGAGAAGAACGCTGGGATTGACTGTCATCAATTCCAAGACATTTATAAGACTGTTTTAAAACAACCTAACGCGAGTTAGCTAGTTTTTTGGCAAAGACCATTGGTAAATGGTCGACACGTCTAGTTGTCGCTACCACGTTATAGTGTGGTTCGGACCTTGAGTCAAATCAATTACAACGTCGAAGTCCTTTCGAGACAGCGGGTGGTAGATCTGGGAGCAACCTTATTTATACTCGCTCTGTAAGGAACTGGTGCCAACACAGGTAGCCCAAGCTTGGTTTCTGTAGTGTCCTATTATAAGGAAATGTATGGAGATTCATCAAAAATTTCAATAAAATCATTGAAACGTGAAATAAAGCCTCGAAATTTCACCTGATCATTGAGAAATAGCACTTCTTTGGCTCTGCGTGGTTATTTTTTGAATTTAGCCCGTTTTAAGATTTTCCCTCCCACCAGCGTGGGAAAAAATCTTAAAACGGGCTAAATTCAAAAAATAACCACGCAGAGCCAAAGAAGTGCTATTTCTCAATGATCGGGTAAAATTTTGGGGCTTTATTTCACGTTTCAATGATTTTATTGAAATTTTTGATGAATCTCCATACATTTCCTTATAATAGGACACCACAGAAACCAAGCTTGGGCTACCTGTGGTGCCAATAGATAAAATTATTGCAGTATTGAACATGTAGTGGTAAAATCTGCGGCGTGTGCGTCTGAAAAGATCAAATACCTTTATTTTGTTTTAAAAACAATATATGATATGAAAAATAACATGAATACCAATGTGACATTCTACACAATTAACGACTTTGAACATTTATTTCAGCTGATTGATAGAATAATAAATCAAATGACCTTAAACGTCAAAGTTGAAAACCTTCAAACTTTAACTCAGATCACATCGGTCATCGGCCGCGCAACARCAAACCCCGATGAAGTTTCTTTAGAAACACAGGTAAATACTATCATAATGCACTCATAATGAAAACTGAATGGAACTTGGTAAAGTAAGTTGGTAAAGTAATATTATATAGACTGTGCTATATTTTTATCACGACCCTAACTGTTGCTTCATGCAATAGTGGCCAAATTAAACAACAGAATGCAATATTCAGTAAAAGGCTGCAAAAAGTCTTTGTTTGTTGCTCCCAAAACCCTTTTGCTCGTTAATGGTTTACAATTTTATTTTAAAAGAATGAAACCATCAAGTCATTAAAGGAGATGACTTATCTTTTGGTTGAAAAGTCAAAGGACCAAAGTGCTGCAGAAGACAATCTAATAGACGCTAGCGGTGAAAACCTTGCACTGAGTCTTGGCAACATGATGAAATCGGCTTCTAAGAAAGCAGACGTAAACAAAGAAAAGCATGATTCCAAACAGCTCAAACAGGTGCATATAATTAACGATTTTCCTTTTTATTGACCTGATGGAAAATGAAGCGGAGTAAAACGAAGAGAGAAAAAAACGATGGAAAACGTAATGACAAGCGAGAGTGAAATAGAAAGACTAGCCGTGTTGAGTCAAATGACTACGCCAGCAAACACAAACAAAGAAATACAACTAATTGAAAGAACGTAGTCGGGTCCGAGAAGGTCATATCATCGAAGCTAAGATCGAAAAGGATTTTGGGTACTCCGAAATTTGTATTATATTTGCATTTATTATACGACCGTGCGCTTTTCAGTGCAAATAAAGGCCAAAACGAGTGCAAATATGAGACCGTATTACATGGTTTGGAATTCCACATTACACGGTTTTCAAACTGGTTTTAACCAGTTTAGCGCTCACGCGCACACATACGCAAGCGTATGGGAAAAATGAACGACGACGCTTTTAAAAACCTGGTATGCGACATAGATTTTTCGGATGAAGACCTTCCAAATTTCACACTTGATGGAAAAATTAACGAGAACACAGAACCACAACCACAACAGCAGCAATTGGATGCTGGCGAGAGAAAACTAAAACCAAAACACAGTGAAAAAGACGGCGTCTGACCTCAAGATTTTCCAGAGATGGCGTGTCGACGTTGCCAAAGACTCTCGAGACATTCTTGAAGTGCTAGTATAAGAGCTGGATCAATTTCTCTCGCTTTTTTTCATAAAAATCAGAAAATCAGATAGCAGTGACTTTGAGCCTTTTAAGCGACCAAAAACCAAGCATGTCCAAGAGTGATGAAGCCAGCACCGAATTCCACGAGGCAGAAAAAAATCAAACTTTACGCTTCATTTTGGCTGGTTTATCTTTTTGAACGACGCTTTCGTTTTTCACTTGCCATTAGGAATATTTCCCTTCAGTTTTGACAGTTTAGGCAATCAATTTTTAATCGCTTCATCATATTTTATGGAACTTTTTTGTTATTTGACTAAATTTCAAAAACTAACAACTCTTTTTCCCCTACCGAACATTTGAAGGGTTTTTCTCACGAGAGCCAATAGAAAAACAGATTATTTTACGAGAACCAATCAGGTTGAAGAAATCGTCATTTGTTTTTTCGTTTTTTCGTTCTGAAAAGCTTTGTAAAAAGCTAAATGATTTTTGGTCGTGTAATAAATAATTTATTACAATTTATAAGTATTGTGTACGCGTGTGCATTTTTACTCGTCATTTTGTATTCATGTTGACTCTTGCCCTACGGGCTCGTCAAAATACTAAAATGACTCGTAAAAATAAACACCCGTATTACACAACTTTCTGTGTAATAACCTTTTTATATACATGTAAAAATGCACAGTAGAGCAAAGTCGGTCGACCAAGATTAACAACATGCCAAAGCCATGATGCATAAAATGTGCACAGGAAGGGAAAACTGCAATACGCATGAAATTAGCATAATTGTTTGTCTTCCCATGCTTCCCTTCGGTCTTAGCTTTGATGGTATAACCTTTTCAATGTTTTCAATGGTGACTATAGTAATGTAAATGCTGTTTTGGGGAATTTGTTTTTAACCTATTTTTTTATAAACTACTAAAAATCAACTAACAAATCAAAGGTTAATGTCATACAATGAAATGTGGCCAATATAACTGTCACGTGACCAGGAGGTTTGTAAGCCCTAATGTGGCTGACTATTCTGGTAAATAAACACAAAATTCAAAATGCAAAATTGAAACGTTGTCTTATTACAGTATGTTACTACCCGTAATATTCATCGTCCAATTGAAACTCTTTAAACCTGAAATTTAATGCTGATTTCAAAAATGCAAAGAAAACTGGGGTGTCCCGAGCTTGTTTTTACAATTTGTACAATTTTGGAAGAAAAATAGCGAAAATCAAGCTCTGTACAAACAAAAACAAAAAACAAAAAAAAAACAAAAAAAAAAAAAACGTAACATACGCTATATTTATAAAATAATGATAAAAGTCGTTTTAATAAACGATTGTAGACAATGGAAAAACTTTATTTGTTCGTTCAGGTTTTACGGTGTGCAAGTTATCGTAAAAATTGAAAAAAATTGGAAAAAATTGCCCATACATTTGGAATATTTGCTCTTTTCGGTCTTTTTCCTCTCTTTCCAAAGCAAAAGGTHGTTCTTAAAAGTAAAGTTATATAGCACAAGTAAATTGCTTGACAAAACATCCTAAATAACTCGTAAATCTTCTGTCCTTTCGCTAACTACCGTGGTTAGCGTGTCTTCGAGGCTACGAAACCTAAGTAACCATAAGAGGCAAATGTATAGGCCAAGAGATAGTATGAGCTTATAAAATCAACAAAAATACGGTTCTAAATTTTATCAAATTGCTATGAATTATATACCAAAATGTTCAGGAAAGCCCGGGGTTTTCAAATCCACTTCTGTTTTTTTTTTGACAGTTTCTGTTTTATTTTTAAGGAGAGACGATTTTCTAGCTTGACCTCGGTTATGTCATGCATTTTCTCTTGTAAAATACATCCAATAGCGTACATTCAACTCAAAAAGTACGGTGGTTTTTTTCAATAGAATTCAATCTAAACCATATCATACAGTCCTTGAATAGTTGAATAAACTGAATCCACTTCTGTTTTTTGCCTAGATAGTCATTATTGTGAGAAAAGATCCAAAAACCGTGTTTTTGAGACATAATTTGTATGGGCTCACAAGCGTACTCAAGAACTTGAATGTAAACAATATATTTCAACTCAAAACTTTCAATAAGACATTCAAGAAATAAAATTTAAAGAACACTGAGATAATAAACGGTAACGATAAATCTAAGTTTGTGAAGAAAAATTAATATTATTGTTATTAAATTACTTAGTTAGAAAGAAGGAAGGGCTCTTGGTACGAGATTGTGTAATCAACATATCAATTATCAACTATAATTTAACCCACAGAACATTGATGTTACGGAGGACGCAGTACTTCTTGTAGACAATGTTGGAAAAAGTCTGTTGAAGAGAAAGGTCATTGGTGAAAGCCTCAGCGTAGTTAGGACATCATCATTATCGATGGTTCTCGGGAGACAAAAACCTCAAGATGTGAAAGCCATGAAAATAGAAGAAGGAGGAACAAGTTTTGTGTTACCACCTGGCAATGTTCTTGATTCAGCCGTAGCAAATTTTAAATTTATCGATTGTCAGGTCAGCTAACAGCTCAGTCTAAACATCTAGACTAAATGAGCAAAAGACTGGACGAGTTTTGATCTTATTAGAAAAAAAACTTTTGTCATCTGATAATGCACCTCAATATAAGTACGTCTGTGAAATTTGAACGCGTTTCGTTAAAAAAGAACCAGTGAGTTTACAACTTTTAAAAAGTGTGAAAATTTTTTTGAAAATGTATGGTTACATGGAACACTTGTTAAACGTACATTCTTTGTAAATTTTTCACACTTTTGAAAGCCTATAACTCTCTGGTTCTTTTTTAACGAAACGCGTCCAAATTTCACATACTTACTTATGTTGAGGTGCATTATCAGATGACAAAAACTCTTTTGCTAATTAGATTAAAATTCAAAACTCGCCCCAGTCGTTTGCTCCTCTCTAAAGTGGTCAATGAGCTATTGAAAGGTCCAGCCACAAGCTAAACACTCAATTTGATAATTTATATTATGCTCCTGTCGATAGAATTGAATTAATACACATTGCTTTTATCAAAGTGGTTAGCCTGTGAATGTACAGCAATGGTGAATGAATTTCTTTATTAAATTATGTTTGATAAAAGAACTATGGATTTTTTTAGGTTGGGCTTAATGTTTTCCCATTTTATTGATCACGTGTTTCTAGAATATCATTTTTTTGTTTAACGGTTGTGCAAGATACATGAATGCAAACGCAATTGAAAATGGTAAACATTACTTCTAAGCTCAACTTAACAAATAGACATCAGTTTTTTATGTGTCTGTCCACTTGTTGACGATAAATTGCGTCATCACATCGTCAAAGTAGTGTGGATCCACGAGGCGTAGCCGACATACCACTTTGACGATGTGATAACGAAATTTATCGTCAATAAGAGAACAGACGCATAAAAAACTGATGTCTTTTTGTTTATTACAATAGCAAAACCGATAAAACTTCTCATTTTTAGCGATCAAAACAACCAACGGAAAGAGCGCGCATTCGTTGACGTCAGCTTTATCTGTCTGTCCTCTTATTGATGAAAAAAAAAAAAAAAAAAAAAAAACGCGCGAGAAATTGGTAAGTTATTGTAAAAAGTCTTATTGATGATTACTTTCCAATATCATCTTCAATGAATGTTTAGTAATCACTTATTATAGAATATGTAATGATGAAAAGAAAAATTATACACCGTGAAAAAGATGAAAAAACTTAATGACGTTTCGGACGCCAGTTCATATTCACCTATTGGGCACTCTTAGTCCCAACGGGATTAATGAACGCTTTACTTTCAACTAACCAGCTTTTCTTTTGTCTTTTGATTGTTTGTTTTTGTTTCCTTGCCTACCTTGCTCTCATTGGTTTCTTTTGTCTTATTCTATCATATATTCACTCCTTTCTACCACTTCTTTCTCTTTTACTCCGACGAAGGACTAGCGTCCGAAACGTCATTAAGTTTTTTCATCTTTTTCACGGTGTATAATTTACCTTTTCATCATTACTGTTTCATTAGAAACACCGACGCAGCTCACACTAGTTTTTAGCTAGTTAYATCTTCTTATTATAGAATATGTTCTGCAATGGATCGATTGATGAAATTCTCAATTGGCCACTTTAGAAACGAGTTAAGAGCTGGGAACGAGATTTCAAATCAACCTAGTTAAAAAATAAACACCATAACAAGAAAGAGTACATCGAAATTAGTAAATGTCTGGAGCTTCAACATTTTGAGTTTGCTACCTTTTGTGTATAGCAACCTCCCAAACAAACCAAAAATTACAAAGAAATTTATGGTTACTGGGGATGCTTGTCCCTACTAAACAAATATTTCTTTTGTAATTGTTTGTTTTTGATTGCTTATAATTTAGCTGTTACTTAGCCAAGCAAAGCCATACTGCAGAGACCTTTAAGTTTAATGTTCCCTTTCTCGTCATGGTATAATATTTTCGTAATAAGATTAATTATCAATAACTTCACTCGTTACTAATGTGGCCAATAACGTGTTATATTTTATTTCTGCAGATGACATACACAAAGTTCAATCCTTTTACATGGGACAGCTCAGTAAATCTTGCAGATTCAAAGGTTTCAAGCCTAGTATTAAGGAATGACCAGGGTGGTGATATAACTATTCACCAACTGGCAGAAGATATACAAATTTCAATCCCACGGTCATATCCTTCAACTAGCCCTTTACCTCAGGAACATTCTTTCTTAAAACCAAACCAAATACGAAATTATAAGTTTTTGGTCGACTATCCAGGCAAAGCATTGGAGCTTCAGGTTGGTTATAATTTTAAGACGTTTTTATCTATTTCTTTAATATCACATTTTCTATATTTTCTTTATAAGTAGATGTTTTCTTGTGAACATGGGTTTATCCAAAACATTGCACATGATCGACACGTAATCAAGCTTTTAAACTAAATACAAGTACTGTTTAATAAACAAATATTAATGATTCTTTGAGTTTAAAACCAGGACGCATAGCCGATTGGTTTTAAAATAGATAAAACACGTGCATGCAAGTTTATCGCATGCTCAAAAACCCTCTCAAGTGAATAGTGAAAATATGTTAAGGTGGATCCAAAATAATTCAGAGCGAATTTTGGACGGTTTATTTCTCGCTCGCTTCGCAAAACTAGTGCATCAATCTAACTGGATTTTTCATATAATGTGCTTTGTTTATTCCCATTTTAACAGTGTATTTTATATTAAGATTGTTTAATTGTTTAGCCGATTACGGCCGAAAATCAAACCGGAAGTGATCGCAAAAAGATTCATAAGATCAACGCTTTCTTTAAAAAAAATGATATAACCTAGATTCTAAGGAGTTTTGTTCGAATAAGCTCATAAAATGTATAGAGTCCTGTGCAAAATTTGAGGGTTTTGCCCTCTTGAAGTTCAAAACGTGTATGGTTCTTCAATATTAAGCGTGATTTTTCAGCGGTTTTTGAGAGCGCGTACATCGTGGGCTGGCTCAAATCGAACGTGCAAAAATAGTCAGCCACCTTAAGAGCAAATTATTCACAAGAGTCAACTGCAATGTAAAGAATGYGCAGCTTGAACCATATCAATGTTATGAAATCCTACGGACTTTTAACGGCATGTATGAAAAGCTAACTTATTAACGAAGCTAAAATGTATCAATGAGTCTGGGTTGATCAAAAACAGCGGTATCATCCACGAGAAAGAGGACTGGTCAAGTTTGTTCAAAGGCTTTAACAGCCATTAATTTTTAGATAATTTCTAAGTGATGAGCGGTCCCTGAAATTATACAGAAACGACATAAGACTATAAAGTACCATTTGGAAAATCAGAGAGCTAGAGCATGACGTAACGAATGGAAACAACATTCCAGCTGATCTAAAATAATGATATAGAAATGACGCCCCCGTAAAAATAAGGTGTCAAGAAGCACGTTAAAACTGACCATGAATAAAAACCTGTTCATCAATAGCAATAAAAATATAAAACTCCTTAGTTATTGYGTTACTGTTATCAACATCTTATTAGCCCTGCTATTGTTTCATATGGTGGCCTGGAAATCCATAATCTCAAGTGACACCTCAGTTTTGCAAATTTTCTCGATTATATGATTAAATAACATTTTTTTCTTAGATCAGCAGGCTTTTCCAGCGATTTGCCTAGACATCATGTTGAAATAATGTTTGTGTGTTTCCAACAGATCTTCACGGTTCAGAATTCGCCAATAAAGATTCTCGTGAAACGTTCGAACAAACCATCAAAAAGTAACAAAGACTTTATGGAACTCGTTTCCGATCTTCCACGTTGTTTACCAGATCGAATTTTCAAGGCGTGTAAAAAGGAAAATGGTGGCATATTTTTGTCATCACTCTTACTTGAAAAACAAGGTAATCCATTGTCACGTAGCTATATTTTATATATATTAATTGGACAGGTTTTTTGTTAATAATACACATGGGAAATGACATAATTATATTATAATTTATTCATTTGCGCTATCCATGCAGTCGGTTTAGAATGCCAAACGCGTATTAGAAACAGTGGATGATGCCATAATCGAAAAAACAACTCACTTCAAAGCACGATTTAATCCTCTTTTAAACCTCTAACTTCACAAAAAACTTAAATAAAATGATCCCTACGATGGGGGATTCAATTTTTTCAAATTCTTTTTTCTCATCCTCTACCATGTTATGTCAAGGTTCTTACCTGCGTAGGACTCGGTCGAGAACGAATTTCGACCTTACTACTCTCCCGCACAGGATTTTTTAATCAATTTTTATACTCTTTCGTATATTACGGAGGACATTATCTGGTCCTCGAATTTTAAAAAAAGAATCAATTATTTAATTTTTCCGATGTTATTTTCAGCACTCACTTTAATCTAAATTGGGCTCCCTGTGATGGAAACTCGTGAATAAAAACGTAAAAAGATTCATTATGTCAGGTGTTATATCCGCCGAGAAAACTCGACTTGAAAATTGAAAAATTTACAAACGCTTGTATGTCTGGGGGTATACACTACTTAGTGGGTGTTACACAGCGCAATTTCATCCTGAAACTTGTTCGCCACACAAAGTAGAAAGCAGTACTACTTTTCGTGAAACTATCTACCGACTAAAGTTTTACAAAGCCTAAATTGCGCCATGTATCAGTCCTGTGAAACTTGAATCCAACGCTGTTGCACAAAAGTTTCAGCTAAAAGTTTCAACGTGTAACAGGGCTTTGATAGTCGTTTTCYATTTTTGATGAAAATTACTTATATAATCAAAAACAAAAACAAAAAAGTAAGAAAAGAAARACCTAAAACATTTAAATCGTCCTTGATTTTAATTCTTTATCCAAAAAGACAGATAAATGTATTGGCTTCGACAATTAGATATTATCCCATGTTAAGAGCTTGACTGATCGTTTTATTCCCAAGTTTCCATCACAGGGAGCCCAATTTAGATTAAAGTAAATGGTGAAAATAACGTCGGTAATTTGAAAACTCGATAGTGGTATATTGACGAAAATCCCGCTTTTCATGTATTACTGAATTAGGCAATTATGCAACACACTTGCGTCTTTCTTTAAAGGTGTATACTACGTAGGAATTTTGTTAGATAGCAATCCACATTCACGAAAAAAACGTTCCTGTTTTGGTCATGGACGTCAGAAACGATCTTGTGTTGAGCCCAAAGATGCGCCAAAACCGGAAAACATGACAGTTATTCCTCGATACGACCCCAAAACTGATGTTAACTACTCGGTATCTACTCAGCAATATACCTGTTTGTTTTGGGATAAAACAAAGTGGACAAGCAAAGGYTGCAAGGTAAGAGTAAATCAGATTTGCTAACAAACTAACGCCCCCTTCTTCCCCTGAGCGAAGGCAATCCGGAATCCAATCTTGAACGAATCAATTTCTTTCGAACATGGCTTTAGCACAATTCTAGGCCAAATGTCATGTTGATATCATTTGTGAGGAGACGTACTAGGAGACGTACGTTTTGCAAAGGAATCTCAAGATGGGCGTATAGACTAGTTTCAATTCGTCCATGTGAAAGAGCTGGCGGGTTGATTTGGGCTCTCAGGCTTCTTTGCCCGTGGTGTAGCAACAGCTTGTGACAGTGTCTTTTAGCATTGAGGTTAACGGTATAAAAGCTAGGCAGGGGAGAAGTGGTGACAAGGAATCTCCATGGAAAATCCCGCAGTCGATACTTGTTGAACTTGTTTTTCCAATTATCCTGTCTTGTAGTGCATAATAATGCGTTTCTTTCAGGTTTTATGCATAGTCTTAACGTAGAAAACGAATCAGTGATGAAGCCAATAGCAACTTGTAGATCTGCAAGGCTTTTACCATCCATGGATGGAAGACAATATTCAATCCTTTTTTGTAGTCTATCCCTGACTACTGTAATAAGCCTTTCCCCCCCCCACATCATCCAAAGGAGATTTTTAAAATCTCCATTGGAAACTATTATTTGCTAAATTGTATACTATTGAACTTTTCAGGCAGGATCCAACTCCAGTTTGGAAGCACTTCATTGTCTTTGCAACCATTTGACATCATTTGGCGGAAGTCTGTTAGTTGCACCTAATCCTATCGATTTTGATGTGGTCTTGCTCGAGCTTTTAAGACTCGACGAGACAGGAAATGTTGCAGTATTGAGCACTATTGTGGTTTTTCTTTTAATCTATCTGGTGACTGCTGTCATCGCTAGACGAGAAGATCGACGTGACACAACAAAGGTAATTTCTTTAAATAGGTTTTTTAAAAATTCAAAACCTTCATTCTTGTCCAGCTTTTGTTGCCTATGCAGCTTATATGTGAAATGAGATATAAACCTAACTAACTTTAATAGTAAATCATAACGTACAAAGCAAATAGGTTCGATGCATTAATACTTTTAAGCCCCAGTTTATTTTGCGTCTATCATAATGTTTTGAAAATAAAGATCTTTTCTTGAAGTAATTTTAATGCAGCTTATACAGTATGTGAAAGGAAAGTGGCAACCGATAGCAAAATAGCTTTCTATATTGTTGCATATTTCAGTTTGGTCCACCATTACAAGTGAATGTAAATGAGAGTGCTGGATACAACTACGAGATGACTGTTATCACAGGTATATGGAGAAATTGTGGGACAACTGCCAACGTAGTCATAGAAATACAGGGAAACCAAGCGAAAAGTAATGGTATTATTTTATCGAGAGACATGGAACCGTCGCGTCTTATGTTAGCAAGTGGCAATGCAGACAAATTCATTATCACCTTACCTGAATGCTTGGGTTCTATTGATTATCTGAACGTTTGGCATGACAATAGTGGATCAAGCCCTTCTTGGTTCTTGGAGGAAATTATCATTAAAGACATACAAAGGGACATTTCGTGGCTATTTTTGCACAGGGATTGGTTTGCTCTAGAAAAAGGAGATGGAAGAATAAATAAGGTGCTTCTCCCGACATCACCATTACAAATGCAATCATTTCAGTATAAGTTTAATTATCAAACTTCTAAAAAAATTACCGAAGATCATATCTGGTTGTCCGTGTTTACTAAACCCCCACACAGTAACTTTACACGTCTTCAAAGAGCTACGTGTTGCTTATGTGTATTGTTCTCTACGATGGTTGTGAACGCAATGTTTTATAAGCTTGAAAAAACCCCAGATCCCGGAGTGCAGATAGGTCCGTTGAAATTCAACTCAAGGCAAATAGTTGTTGGGGTCTACAGCAGTTTGATCGTTGTTCCTGTTGGATTATTAATTGTATTCATGTTTCGGAACAGTCGTACAAAAAATGCTGTGAGGAAACATAGAAGTACGGGATTTAAACAAATGATATATAACTATATATGCTGTGATATTGGTGGCTGTACTGAAAACAAGATTGACCGAGTATATGACAAGAAGGAATGCTTAGTAACAAGTGATCAAATAAGCCATTTTGAAACAGATGAATTTGAAACGAATTATGATAATAATGCGTGTGAAACAGGTATTCGTGATGATACAAGAACGGCCAGTTCCGTCATTTTACAACAACCTCTATTTTCGGAAAATGAACAAAACATTACATGTTTTTCATCCGAGGATTGGAGAGGTAAGAAACAAGCTGATGGAAGCCAAGAATATAAAACGTTCGTAGCTGGTATCAACAATAAAAATTCATCTGAAATGACCATTTTGAGAGAGAATGATTCTCCTAAATCCCGAAGACCCAGCATCAATTATAAAATCGATAAACAGGACTGCACATCACTTATGACCGAAGGTACGGCAGTAGTCACTTTAAATGAAGAACGAATACTTGAACAGGAAGATCACCTGACTTCCAGCACAACAGTCAAATCATCGTACAATGATTTAGCTCGAAACATTTTCTTTTTTAAACAGAAGTCAGTGAAAGACCGCTTTTGGTTACCACATGGTTTTATTTATGTCTCATGGCTGCTGTGCTTTGTAACAATTCTTGTTTCGGCATCCTTTACGTTTATATACAGTCTGCAATGGGGCAAGGATATTGCAAATCGTTGGCTTTCTTCGATGCTTGTGTCATTTACTGAAGATCTATTTGTCGTTCAACCCGTTAAAATATGCATAACTGCAGTCTTTATGGCCATATTTTTTCAAAATAAAAACAAGACAAACGAATCCAGCGGAAAAATATCAACAAAGTCCTCAAGAACAACTCAAGTTGCTTCTAAGACTCATATGGAAAGGAATGATACGAAATTTCCAGAGGAGAGTGAGCTCAAAAAAGCAAAGGACTACCAAGTAAAGGAGGAAAAGATGTTTTCATTTGTACGCGAAGCCTTCTTATTCGGTGCATTCCTAACGCTTCTGACAATAGTTTGCTATGGCAACCGCAGTTACTTTGGTTACGAAATGACTAAAACAGTGAAAAACGAGTTCAGCAACTTTTCAAAGGTGAATATTTACAGTGCAACGCGCCTAACCGTGGCCACACCCAACTTATTTTTTTACTAGGTAGCCAATTAGACAGCGAGAATTAACAGTGCATTTGCACGTGAAATCACTTAGAGTGACCACAAATATTTAAACTTTTTTCGACAAAAACTTGAATAAATGGCCTTTTGCTTTTTGGTCCTTTTGCTGGCTAATACTGGATACTATCGTAAAAGTTCTTTTACTTGATTGAAACACTTGACAGGAAAGGATTAACGGCCTTAGCAAAAAATAAGTTGGGTGGCCACGGTTAGACGTGTCGCACTGCAAAATATGTAAAAAAGTTTTTACAATAACTTAGACATTTCTTACGCGCTGATTGGTTATTTATTTATCATCAATAAGAGGACAGACATACAGATGAAGCTCAACGAGCGTCAACGAGCGCGCGCTCTTTCCGTTGGTTGTTTTGATCATAAAAAATAGGACTAAAACGAGAAGTTTTTGTCGTAATTGTTATTGTAAAATTAACAAATTGAAATCAGTTTTTAATGTTTCCTCTTATTGACCATACATTTTGTTATTGCATTGTCAAAGTAGTATTTCGGCTTCGCCTTGTGGATCCACACTACTTTGACAATGCGATGACGCAATATATCTTCAATAAGTGGACAGACACATTAAAAACTGATTTCAATTTGTTGAGGATATGCTTTCAAAAATTGGATGGAAGTCCTTGCTGTTTTAATAAGTATGAATATATCGTATAAATAACCTATTTTCAATCGTTTTGCCATGGGATTCAAGTAAAATCTATTATCTGACTTGGGAATTTTAATGAATTTCACTCTTGAAATTCAACGTGGAATTCCCTTGTCAGCAAATGAATTTTAATATAAAATTGACTTCGTTGACTGCTGTTGCAAACGATTCGTAACGGCATAGAAAGTAAACTTTTATGAGTGTAACATTCTTTTAGGCGTTGTTGACATGATTGTAATGAGTGCATGTCGAGTTTGAAATAAACCGGTACATGGTAACATTGTAACATGGTAACATGCCAGCATGGTAACATGGTAACATGGTAACATGGTAACATGGTAACATGGTAACATGGTAACATATTAAAATGGTAACATGCCCAGAGCATTCAAATATAGCCGGCTCCAAAAGGCAACTATACCTTTAATTAACTCTACCTTTAATTAACTTCATTTACCCATGTCATTGAAAGTTTWAAAAAAAATACAGCATGGAAGGGAATCCCGAATCGACAAAAAAAGTTAATTTTGAAATCTGGAATCCGACATTTGGAATTCGGAATCCAGTTCATGGGATCAGCAATCCACTTTATTTGGAATCCAATGCATTGTATAAGATCTGGCATCAAGTGCGGCAAAAGGTAAGCCGAACACAAGTCTCGTTTTTATGTCGAGGGTCGAGTGTGGAGCGTACCAGGTCTAGAGTACGATAGTCTGTGTGGGTGAAAAATGTCCCCAATTAGTTCGAATGACCTAGAAAGACTAGACACTAATATAAAGAGATTCATTTATTTATTTTTGTTTTTAACATTTTCTTCCGTAATTCGTACACCCAAGGGTAGAACGCCTAAATTGCCGTCAGGTTCGAAGTCCATACGACGCCTCAACTCTTCGGAAGTCTCGCGAGTATGGCACAGTGGAATCTTTTTTTCTTTCTTTAATTTTTTACATAAATAATTATTATTAATGATGAAAAAATTTATTTTCTTAAAGGGAATCCCGAATTTCGAATCCAATAAAATTAATTTTGGAATCCGGCCCATGGAAACCGTAATTCAGCTAATGGAACCTGGGATCCAGTATCATTTCGCATTACATCCCAGTTACACCGGCTCGATTTATTTAACATAATATCAACAAAAGCTGATTTACAACATGGGCGTACATTTAAAATCCTAACATTATAACATAAATGCTACTGTGGTGTCCTTATTTAGTGGGCAACCCCTATATTTACTGACACAGAAATAAAGTTATTATTATTATTATTATTATTATTATTATTATTATTATTAT